GTCTGACCTCAGCTTCATAGGAATCAGCCGTGGGCTGATCTTGATTTTCTCCCCTTGTGAAGTTAGATGAACAGGTCAGACGACAACGCTGCTGCCATGCCATTTTTACAATTTCAAACAACAGTTGTGCTTTAGAATGAGAAGGAAGAAAAGAAAGTTGTATCTTATATTCCTATCTTTGGCTTTTATTCTTCTCTGGCAATCTGGGTAAAAAAGCCATAGAAGACAGAAGACTTGGTTTCTAGTGCTGGCCTGAAACTAGCCATGTGACCCTCTAACATCACTTAATCTCTTTGAAGATGAGAGTTCTTTACTTGCCCGCCCACTTCTAGTTGTTCTCTTTTCTGACATGTTTCTTTTTCTCTCTGCTTTTGAGTTGTTATTTAAAAATTCAAAACTTTCCGCTTTGTTGCATATAGCTTTTAGTGTATCAGTTGTCTGAGCCTATCCACATTTGTATTCATGCTGTAGTGGTCTACTTAAAAAAGTCTTTTGCTTTTGAAATAATTATATATTCACAAAGGAGCCCTGGTGGCATAATGGTTAAGTGCTCAGCTGCTAACTGAAAGGTTGGCAGTTCGAACCCATCCAGCAGCTCCATGAGTGAAAGACCTGTTAATCTGTCCCTGTAAAGATTATAGCCTAGGAAACCCTATGGGGCAGTTCTACTCTGTCACATGGGGTCACTATGAGTCAGAATCAACTTGATGGCACCTAACAACATATGTTCATAGGTACAGTTGTGCGCTGCATAACATTCATTCTGGCAATGTCTGACTGCATATACGTCCATGGTCCCATAAGATTTTTGTTTTTAAAAAGGGGAAGCAGCTCTCCTTTTGTTTATTATTTCACCCTAATAGTTTTAGCTCCCAAGCCCCCAGAGTGAAAGAGCAGTGGGGCTTCAGGGAGCATCCCAGTCCCTGTAGTGCCACCTTCTCTGCCTCTTCCTCCTCCTTCCTCTCCTCCTGGCTTCATTCACGTGCCCAGCAGCTGTGCAGCCATTCATTCCAGGCGCAGGATACCGCCTGCTTCAGCTCCTGTGCTCCTGGCCTGGGTGCTGGCAGGGGCGCTTGCCGGGCGGGCCCGGGCGCTTGCAGGCTTCCGGCTCCAGGCGGCGCTGGCGGCTGCACGTGATCAGGAAGCAGACGCATCAACAGTGCGGCCGCAGCCAGGTCTGCCACCCCTAGCTGTGCACTCGGCACCTGTACACCCTCTCCCCGCCCGGTCCCCACAGCCACACCTCTGCACACTCTGTGCGCCTCCCCCCACATCCAGATGTGCGCATAGTCCCCATTCAGCTGCTATTGCAGCCCCCGTTCAGCCCGCAGCTGCACACTCAGCAACGCTGGCCTCCTGTACCCAGTGGATACAGCTCGGGCTTTGTTTGGTGGGGTCCCATAAAGTTTTAATATAATAGGCTTTACAGGGAGTTGGTTCATAACTACGGATTATACGGGAACTGCTTATATATAATGTGGTATTCGCACAGTGCCCAAATTGCATAATGTCACGTTTCGCAGAACGTATCATGGACGTTAAGTTACACATGACTGAGCTGCAAAAAGAAATACGGAGGGTGATTTACTTCTTTTTAAATTGTATATTGCTTCTAATCTCTTACCCACTGAATGCATTTTCTCTATTCTGCCACTACTTCTAGAGTGACTATGCTGGTAGTTGAACAAACTACCATTAATCCAGAATGAAAATATTAAGGATGATATTTAAATTTGTGCTTTTAGGGATTAGAGAGAACTGAAGGTCATTGAAGGTTTTTTATTCTGGGTGAGGAAACAGTTATGCATCTCAGTTAATTTAGGATTAAAGATTTCTACCTAGTGGTTTGAAGCCTGAATCTGTTAAGGCTGTGGATTTCTTTTGCTATGGTTCCCAACTGGCAATTCCAGTTATCTGAATCATATTTACGGTAGTATGTCTTAAATACGCCTTGGATCAGCCCACGGTTGCTTTTGTGAGTATTGGAGTCCATTTCTGGTGATTTTATGTAGTGACTAGAAGCCATATTTAGACAGTGTAATATGACATAAAGATATAAGGGGTTGATAGGTGAAGAGTTTGAGGACTGTTAATATGGTGATTCAGTGGTAGAATTCATGCCTTCTGTGTGGGAGACCTAGGTTTGATTCCCTGCCAATGCACCTCATGCACCTGCCTGTCGTTGGAGACTTGTATGTTGTTATGATACTGAACAGGTTTCAGCGTAGGTTCCGGACTAAGACTGACTAGGAAGAAAGGCCTGGTGATCTACTTCCAAAAGTCAGTCAGTGAAAACTATGGATTACAATCTGGGACAGATTATGGGGATGGGACAGTACCAGGCAATGTTTTTTCCCATTGTGTGTGAGGTTGCTATGAGTCCGAGGTTGACTGCAGGGAAGCTGACAACAACAAGAAGTATGACATGTATTGTATTGGATAGGACATATTTTATATTTTTCTGTTTACATTGTATCTTTTTTGTAATCCTAAAGGGGACAAGGCATAGACATTTTTATTTACAAAATGTTGTCTTGGGAAAATTTAGATGTGAATACTTCGTATTAATCTGTATTTGAGAAATCTGAGGGGAGTAGGCAATTAATGAGTGAATGAACATATCGATTGGATCTGAAGAGGGAGGACGTTGGGGTAAGGAGATCAGGGAAGAAGGTGTCATAGTAGTGTAGATATGAGGTTGTTAATAAGTGAAATGAAAAGGAAGGGACTGTTGGGAAAGATAATCAATACTTTAAAACAGCTTATGCTATTTTTATTGAAGAAGTACTGTTTTTCTTCCCTTTTAATTTCAAAATTAATACAGGGGTTGCAAAATACATACTTATTGTAAAAACAATACAGACAATACAGAAATATAGAGGTATAGAAAATAAAAAGTCCAAGTCCTCGTGTCATTACCCCCTGATTCCACTCTATCACAGGTAACTACCTTAAACACTTTGGTAAGTTTATTTATTATATTTATATGTTTATGGTATTCGTAGTATCATATATATGATATATGATGTAATTGTGTAGTATTTTATAAATGCTGTAAGTACATGGTGGTATAAAGTGGAAAGTAAAATTCTCTATTCTCCCTCATCCTGCTCCCTATACGTAACCACTGAAAAAAATTATTTTATTATACAAATTTTAAAAGATACACAAGAGTAGAAAGAAGAATGATGAACTCCTTTGTACCCGTTACCCAGTTTTAATCTCATTTCATGTGTATCTCCTTCCTCAAACACACACTGGATTATTCTGATGCAAATCCTAGATAGCATATCATTTTGTACTTGGATATTTGGAGAGAATCTCTACGATGTTAGGGTTTTTGAAATGACAAAAAAAAAAAAAAAGGAGAGAACAAAAGGAAGATAAAACCTTACTCACAATAATCTTATTACACCAAAAAAATTAACAGTAATTCCTCAAGTTCATCAAATATCTACTCAGTGTTAAAATTTCCCTGACTGTCTCAGAATTTGTTTTTTCATTTGATTTATTTGAATTAGGATCCAAACAGACCTGTACATTGCATTTGGTTATAAGGTTCTTTTGATTTCTAAAAGTCCCCTCTTATTTTCATGGCAATTATTTGTTGAAGAAATTTTACTTAATCAGCTTACTTTCTACATTGATCCAGTGAGTGGAAGATGTGACTTTGCTCTTTCCTTAGTCTTTCAGTTTCTGTATGCCATTCTTAAGCCTCTTCATACTGAGTGTGATTTTAGTATATAAGGATTTATGTTTTTTTTTAATAAACATACAAAGTTGTTGTTATTGGGTGTCGTTGAGTCGATTTTTAACCCATAACAACTCCATGTGACAGAGTAGAGCTACCCCACAGGGTTTTCTAGGCTGTAATCTTTACAGGAGTAGATCGCCAGTCATTCTCCTTCAGAGCTGCTGGGTGGGTTCGAACCGTCAACCTTTCAGTTAGCAGCCAAGTACTTAGCTGTTGCTCCACCAGGACTCCTTATAAAGATATATAGAGATATGAAATTTTCATCCATGGTCCTTAGATACAGATCATCTACTTCATCAGTTTCTCCACTGAAGAAAACTTCCATGCCATTGGTAGTGATGCTGGAAGAAAAAGAAGTTCTGTTGGGCTTATTGAGAGACTGTATATCAGACTTCAACATGATGTGTCTTCCTAAGGAATTTGTATGGGAAGTTATGACTTTACTCAATTTTTGCCCAAGTGATGACTTTAGAACTCACACTCCACTTAAAATGTGAGTTTGCTGTGTGATAAACTGGACATGATTGGAATTGGGAATAAGTCTGCATGGCTGTTTTGAGTTCTTCACTGTTAATAGATTTTATCTAAAGGTTTAGTTTTTATGATGAATTAATGGTGGTAATCTCCTGCAACAGTTGCTACATTGTTGTGTACGTATTTATTAGAATTTGCCCATTAGGCATTAAAAGTAACTTTTCCATCTTACTGTTCTTGTTCATTTAGTATGTATTCCAGTACCATGTCAGAGGATGTCATTCATGCTGAGTGGGAAATGGGAGATGAGTGAATGGTGCTAGGCTTCAGGATGTGTTCCTGTCATCTCCCCATCAAAGCCACTCTTCTTTTTTCTCTTTGGTTTATATCTTAAGATTTCTTTTGAAGAAAGTGTTTGAAAACAATTGTATGAAAAAGAAAAAAACCTGTTGCGTCGAGTTGATTCCGACTCATAGTGACCCAGTAAGCTTGTATGTGATATATACAGAAGAAAATCTACTGTTTGGATCAAGGCTGACATCCTTTTTTAGAATACTAGATTTTCTTTCCTCATACTTATCCAATTCATTGCTATTTTCATGTAAAACTTTATATAAAACTATGTATGTTACTATGTATGTTTTAATATGGGAATGTCAGATGATTTTTTGGTGATTTGAGCACTCATCTTTTGATTTTTATTATATTTTGGTAGTATGTAGTTTTTCAGTTTTTACTTGCTATATCACATTTGTAATTGTATTTTCTGTAGGCTTTCAACAGACCTCACGTCTCTCTTCTTATGAAATTATAACTCCTTGGAGGTTAACTAGAGAACGAAGAGAAGCCCCCAGGCCCTATTCAAAACAGGTAAATTATACCTTGGGAAAAATGTATGTGTTTAAATTTTACTTTTGTTGTTGTTGTTGTTAACACAAGATTGTTATTTTCAGTTGTGATTGGTTCAGTTTTTATTATGTTAATGTTAGCCAGTGATAAGTACGATACCACATGGCGCTGATGTTCATGGGATATTATTCTAGTAAAAGCAACATATTGATTCTTAGTATGTTTGTTCTTAAGATAAAATGGTTGGCTTGAAACATAGCAGAATGAAATAGTTGTTAAATAGAATTCTAACCAGGGTAGGATGCTGGTTACATAGGTTTTTAACTCTTAATAGTGGTTTTGTTGTAATAGTCAGAGTTCACCTCAGTTTGTGATAGGATACGTCATCTCCATGTACTCTGGAGAATAGTAGTGTGTTATGTGCATCTATTTCATATCTGGGAATGTTTATTCAAAAGTGAGCTTTATCTTCACACTGGAACAAACTTAACTGTGCTCTTAATATAGTAACCAATGCACAAAAGGTATTTTTTACACTATTTTTGCTTATTGCAAAGTTTGTTCAGAAATATTATATTTGTACTTCAGCTGGTTTTGCATAGCCTTCAACTTTATAGAAGTATAATTTAACTTGTATGCTTTTTAATCATTTCAGTGACAGATAATGGAGAATAGAGTTTAAGTTATTACCTCTGAATTGCTGACATACTCGTAAATGTGAGGTGGCTTGCAAGTTGTTAAGCTGGGTCACAGGCATTAGCCTGGCATGATCATCTAATGTATACTTTTTCAAAGCCTTATATAAATTCTTATTTGTTCATATTTCCTCTTCTAAATGATTTCTTTTTCTCTCTAATTTCTTTTAAACTTGGTTAGGGATTGGGCAGTGCAAAAGAAAAAAAAAAGACACTGGAGTTTAGAATCTGATCTGGAGCTTTTAGCTTGACTCCTCCCTCTACCATTAACTGGGTAGACCATTCAACTCTGTTTATTCCTCTGTAAGTGGGGAGTAAATGACTCTAAGATCTCCTTCCAGTGGAGCAATTTATTATTTTTCCTGATTTTTGGTTTGAATTGGATAGTCTACTATTCGATTACGTTTTGCCTTGTTATTAGGTGCTGTTGAGTCAGTTCCAACATGTAGTGACCCTGTACAACACAACGGAACACTGCCTGATCCTGTGCCATCCTCACAGTCGTTGCTGTGTTTGAGCCTATTGTTGCAGCTGTTGTATCAGTCCATCTCATTGAGGGTCTTCCTCTTTTTTGCTGCCCCTCTACTTTGCCAAGTGTGATGTCATTCTTCAGGGACTGGTTCCTCCTGATATCATGTGCGAAGTATGTAAGATGAAGTCTTGCCATCCTCGCTTCTAAGGAACATTTCGGCTATACTTCTTCCAAGGCAGATTTGTTCATTCTTTTGGCATTTCCTGGTATATTCAATATTCTTCACCCACACCATAATTCAAAAGCATCAATTCTTCTTCGGTCTTCCTTACTCGTTGTCCAGCTTTCTCATGCACGTGAGATGATTGAAAATACTATGGCTTGAGTCAGGCACACTGTTGTCCTCAAAGTGATATCTTTGCTTTTTAACACTTCAAAGAGGTCTTTTACAGCAGATTTGCCCAATGCAGTGCATCTTTTGATTTCTTGACTGCTGCTTCCATGGCTGTTGATTGTGGATCCAAGTAGAATGAAATCCTTGACAACTTAAATCTTCTCTCCATTTATCATGATGTTGCTATTGGTGCAGTTGTGAAGATTTTTGTTTTCCTTATGTTGAGGTATAATCCATAAGGAAGGCTGCGGTCTTTGATCTTCATCAGTGTTTCAAGTCCTCTTCACTTTCAGCAAGTAAGGTTGTGTCATCTGCGTATTGCAGGTTGTTAATGAGTCTTGCTCCAATTCTGATGTCATGTTTTTCTTCAGACAGTCTGGCTTCTTGAATTATTTTCTCAGCATACAGATTGAATAAGTATGATGAAAAGATATAACCTTGACGCACACCTTTCTTGATTTTAAACCACAGAGTATCCCCTTGTTCTGTTCAAACTACTGCCTCTTGTTCTACATACAGGTTCCACATGAGCACAATTAAATGTTCTGGAATTCCTATTATTTGCAATGTTATCCATAATTTGTTATGATCCACACAGTTGAGTGCCTTTGCATAGTTAATAAAATACTAGTTGTCTTAGGTTGGGTTCTCTAGAGGAGCAAAACTGTGAAGCATATATATATTAATATATATATAAAAAGAGATTTATTTTAAGGAAATGGCTCAAGCCATAACTAACTAAATAACTAACAAACTAAATAAATAAATAAATATACAGAGATAGCAAGAGAGATTTGTTTCAAGGAAATGACTCACAATTGCGAAGCCTGGCAATTCCTAAATCTGTGGGTCAGCTGTCAGGCTGGAGGCTTCTCCTGGCTCATATGATTGCAGGGGCCGAAGAACCCAAAATTGGCAGGTCAGACGGCAGGCTGCTGCCTTATGGGGCACAGGAGCTGTTGAATCCCAAAATCTGCAAGTCAGACTGCAGGCTGCTGCCTCACGTCTCAAGATCCAGAGGTCAGAAGATGGATAAATAGATAGATAGGTAGGTAGGTAGGTAGGTAGGTAGATAGATAACTAAACAACCAACTAACTAAATACAGAGAGAGAGAGAGAGAGCAATTTATTTCAAGGAAATGGCTTATGCAGTTCTCAAGGCTGGCAACTCCCAAATCTCTGAGTTGGGTGTTAGACTGGAGGCTTCTCCTGATTCATGTGATTGCTGGGGCTGACGAACCCAAAATCGGCAGGTCAGATGGCAGGCTGCTGGCTCACGGGGCTGCAGGAGTTGGCGAATCCCAAAATCTGCAGGTCAGACGGCAGGCTGCTGGCACACATCCCAAGAGCTGTAGGCCAGAGGATGATGAGTCGAATGAAGGATTGAGAGAGAGCGAGCTTTGCCAGAACATCCGTATGTATCGGATGCAAGCTACACCCCCGAGGAAACTTACCTTTGACTGATTGACTGCTCACAACAGATCACGTCAAGGACGGCAATTATATCATATCTGTTGAACCACCGAGAATCATGACCTAGGCAAGTTTGCACATAACCTTAACCATCACAGACAGTCCATCCCTTCTCAACTTGACACCTGCACACGTTTTCTTAAACCATACGTAATCTGTAAGTAAAGACAATTATAAAGTTGTACTTGCACCTAATGTGATACAACTAACACACGTACTACAGAAAACACACTAGCCCCATTTACATTTTATATTTTATCATAAATAATAGAATAAGGGAGAGAAGAAAACAAAGATTATTACTATATGTATGTATATATATGTATATACACATGTACACACACATACACACATAACAAAACAATGAAATACTAAAAACAATTACAGTGTTTCTTTCTCTAACTGGTCATGTGGTCATAGCTGGTATTTAGAACTACTTTCTTCACCACCCATCCATATTCCCTTTGCCCTCAGCAAGCATCTCAGGTGGTCATAGTTCTTTGCTGGATGGAGT